TGAGATTTGAACCGCTGAACAGCAGATAATAGTCAGCTGAAGTGGCCTGCAGTGCTGCACCCTAACCACTGCGCCACCTCGGCTCGAAACCCATCCTCCATCTTCTCTTAGAATCCAACTACTGTATTTTTCGGACTATAAGATGCACCGGAGTATAAGACGCACCATGATTTTGAAGAGGTAAATTTAAAATAAAAAAGGTTTTTGCACTCTGCAGGCCCCCCAAACTCTGCATGCCTCATTTTTTGCACAAAAAAAGGGGGGGGGCATGTAGAGATTTGGATGGCTCTTAGAGTGTTCCTGGGGGCTGGGGGGGAAGGCAAAAATGAGCAAAAAACAGCCAATTTTTCACAAAAACTGGACGTTTTTTGCCAAAAAAAGGGGAGGTTTAGGAGGCTTGTAGAGTGATCGGGGGGGGGGCAGAAAGCCCCCATTTTTTTGCTCTTTTTTTTGCCCTCCCCAGCCCCCAGGAGCACCCTGGAAGCCTCCTAAAGGCTCTGCACGGTCATTTTTGCGAAGGGGGCGGGGTTTCAGGGGGCCAAAAATGCTGCATTCGGTGTATAAGACGCACCCAGATTTTCACCCTCTTTTTTGGGGAGGGGGGCGGGGAAAGGTGCGTCTTATACTCCGAAAAATACGGTACGTTGTGACCAATCCACTGCAGGTAGTCCTTACAACAGTTCGTTTAGTGACGGGTTGAAGTTACAACGCCAGTGAAAAAGTGACTTACGACCATTGCAGCCTCCCCCCGCGGTCGCATGATCCGAATCTACATCCTTGCTAACTGAACTCATAGTTACGACGGTTGCAGGGTGGCCTTCTGGCAAGCGAAGTCCGTGGAGAAGCCAGTTTATGTTTCCCCCCCCCCCTTGACTTATTCAACAACGATGATTCACTGAACGACTGTGGCAAGGGAGGGCGTAAAATGGGAGAAAACTCCCTGAACCAACGTCTCACAACGGACATTTTGGGCTCTAAGTTGAGGATTTTTGTTGTTGTTGTTGTGCATAATTTTTGTGCAGCGGCAGTGGGAAAGTTTCTCTCTTGAGCCAGGAGTAGCTGAGCTCCGGAATTGATCCGACAGGGAGATTCGTACTTTGACACAGGAAGGAAGGAAGGAAGGAAGGAANGGAAGTCCACAAGTCTTAATGTTGCCAAGTTGGGACACCTGTGATTTAGACACAAAACTGAGATCCATGGAACCTTTGCCGCTAATACACAGAGCTTGAAGGTCCTAACCCCAGACAGTCAAACCACAGGAACAGTAGAATATCCACATAGAGCAAAAGTAATGTCTGAAGTAGACCGAGGTGGTGGAAACCAGGGTGGGTTGGAAGGATCTTCTGCTTGGCTTGGGTGTCTAGGAATTGAGAGCTGACTCAGCAGAGCAGGGCGCGAGAAACGTAGCTTTGAAGGCGCCTGGTGAAGTTGAATCTTTGTGGCCTGGTCCGCGAATCTCCTGGATTCTCTGACTTGCAGCATGTGGCGAACATGATGATCCGCATGAAGAGGGAGTTTTCGGGGATCCAGAACCCCATCCTGCCCGTCTTCGATACCCTCCTGCTGCTGGACCGCAACGTGGACCTGATCTCCCCTCTGGCTACCCAGCTGACCTACGAGGGCCTGATTGACGAAATCTACGGGATTCAGAACAGTAAGTAAGACGGTGACCCAGGAAGTAGAAACTCGATTCCTCTCAGCCCGGCCTGCCTCGCAGGGCCGTTAGGAGGAAAATGGGAGGAAGCGGGTTCCATAGACCGCTCTCAGCTCCTGAAACCAAGTCATATACAGGCTGGCTTTCCACTTACAACAGTTCGGTTTAGTGACTGTTCAAAGTTACGACAACACTGGAAAAAGGAACTTACGTTTTCCACCTTTGCGACGTTTCCAGCATCCCCATGGTCAAAATTCAGATGCTTGGCAACCGTCTCATATTTATGACCGTTGCTTGTCTCCCTCTTGCGACCTCCTGACAATGGGGAAGCGAGATTCACTTAACAACCAGGTTACTGACTTATCCACTGCAGTGATTCACTTAACAGCAGATGCAGGAAAGGTCGTAAAAAAGGGGCAAAACTCAGTTAACCAACGTCTCACTTAACTGGGTTCAATTGTGGTCATAAATTGAGGACTAGCTGTGTATCTTCAATGTGTCTCTCCCGGGCTTTTCTTTAAAACACACGGTCTCATTTCGCGTTTCCTCAATGTTTGGCAGCCTACGTGAAACTTCCCCCCGAGAAATTTGCTCCGAAGAAGCAGGGTGAGGCCGCGAAGGAGCTCCCCACCGAGGCCAAGAAGCTGCAGCTGAACTCCGCCGAGGAGCTGTACGCCGAGATCCGCGACAAGAACTTCAACGCCGTGGGCAGCGTCCTGAGCAAGAAGGCCAAAATCATCTCGGCTGCTTTTGAGGTAAGAAAGCAATGGCCAATCTTGGCCACTTGGAACGCCCGTGGACTTCAACTCCCAGAATTCCCCTGCCAGCCACATCTGCTGTGCTCAGGAAGGGCAGAATAGCAATAGAAGTTAGACTTATATACTGCTTCATAGGGCTTTCAGCCCTCTCTAAGCAGTTTACAGAGTCAGCATATCGCCCCCAACAACAGTCTGGGTCCTCATTTCACCCACCTCGGAAGGATGGAAGGCTGAGTCAACCTTGAGCCGGTG